GTATCCGATGAAGAACAAGTAACTACTGTCGATATTTCGGATGTTCACGAAATATCTGATCACCTAGCGGTATCATGTGAAATTCGAAATTGTATATTAGAAAATAAAGCAAAAAACGATCACATACCGCGACTTCCGAGATTTCAATTATGATTTATTCCATGACGACTTGAGAAAGATTCAATGGAATACTATTTACAATTTGAATAATGTTAGTGATAAACTTTCCTTTTTTTATAGTCATCTTATGGAACTTTTTGAAATACACGCACCTATCAAAACGAAAAGAGTAACTAGACCTCCGGCTCCATGGCTCACTTTCAATATAAAAGAAATGTAAAAACTTCACAAACGATAAGATTTCCACAAAATTTATTAAACACACGACATGTTTCGCTTACACAGTAGCTTCGTCAGGTGATATACTGGTACAATGAACTAACCTAACGTTGGCTTGCTCAACTTTTATATATCTTACCTTCCCAAACTGAAGGATTAGTTACCTGTGGACAGGTACGATAAACCTTCATTTTCGGAAATTAGGCACAATATCTACATTAAATTACGGTATACCGGATTAACTTGAAAGAGTTGATATCAAATACATATCATTACTTACTAAGAAAACAAATTCAACAGTGGTGAACTATTAAGGTCTAATTGATCATCAAGTAAAATGTCAAAATTTGTGAGTTTGTTGATTTCTAATGATTCAAAATGATTGAGTTTCAGTCCTTCATTTTCTATGTGCAGAATTTCAAAATTATCATCAAAACTATTGTTTTCTCCTAATATATGGTTGGCGTATGTTGAATTTGTTTTCTTTTTCATAAAATTCATCTTATGTTCATGAATGCGCTGATTAAACGTACGACCTGTCTGACCGATATATACCTTAGGACAAGATCCACATTTGAGTTTGTATACCCCTGATTTTTCGAATTTAGAAGTTTTGTCTTTATTATTCTTGATAAACCGTCCCAACGTGTTATTTGTCCTATATGCCACTTTTAAGTCCTGTTTATGTAAAAATGAAGCTAATTTCTCAGTTGATGATCCGAAATAGGTTAAAGTTCTATAATTTTGATTATTATTCTTGATGGTAGGATAAACTTCTTGAATAGCTTTATGATGAAATTTTCTAGAAAGAATACTGTCTATCAAATTAACGTTGTATCCGTTGTTGACTGCAATCTGTTTTATGATATTGAGTTCTTTATTGAAATTTACTTCCGAAAGAGGGACATTCACTAGCCTGTGTATCATTCTATATTATATGCTGCAATTTTATGTTGATAAGGGTGTGTTGAACTATTATGAATAGTGATATCAGTATGGGAAGGTTTATGGAAAATTGAAAAATCATGTTCATCGTTAATTTCACTTATTGTCTATTGTATTTATTTATTTATTTAGAAAACAAGGTTATCCAACAGAGGAACTATATAAATAGTCCTTCCAATGACAGGATAACACAGTGATACAAAATTATTGTCTTCACATGGGTTGCACCTACATACTATCATTTAAAAACTAAGTACCTACCTATTCCATAACTTTCATTCAAAAATAACAATCTGAAGAGAAGACAGTAACGTCGGTATATACAATATCAGCATATATGAAATATACATGGGTATAGTATTTTGACACACACTAGAAAATTACAATTTCGATATGACTTAAGTATCATAAATGGATGAATACCAGCACTATTTCTATATTTTTATATTCAAGGAATACTATAAAAATTTAACAAGAATTCTCTCAGTTGTTTCTTGAATCTTTTGATATCAAGGTGAAATATATCAATATTAGAGTGGCAAATTGTATTGTATGAGTTCATACATCTTATAAGAGGTGAATTACCATAATAATCAGTTGAGAACGAAGGTGGGTAGAAAGTGAGTCTATTCCTAACCATTCGAGGATTACAATTCAAGCTCAGGAATCCAGTGCATGCTGTTGAATCAATATGATTGTTGAAGATCTTGTAAATGAATGATATGTCAACGAAGTCTCTTCTAATGAAAAGATTCTCTATTCTATAGAAACGCAAGTTGCTCTCATAGCTCATATAGTGACGGAAGCGTAAGAATCTATAGTTCAAATTGTTGACCATTTTTTTTTTAACATGTTCAATTTGATTCACATATTTGTCATACACAGGATTCCAAATGGTAGAGCAGTATTCAAGGATAGGCCTGACTAATGATTTATATAAAGTGGTAACTGATGAATAATTTTGAAATTCTTTAGTATTTCTCAGAATAAATCCCAGAGTGCGGAGTGCTTTTTTAACAACAGCTCTAATATGTGATTCAAAAGTTAATTTTTTATCTAGTATCACTCCAAGATCTCGAACTTCTTCAGTTGTTGATATTATCTGATTATTGATAAATAGGTTTTCAGTGATAGGGTCTTGAGATCTAGAGAATAGAACATTGTATTATTTGCTCGCATTGATAAATAATCTATTTGTATTGCAGAAGATTTGCAGTCTTTCAAGATCTTCCTGGATACTCACGTAATCTGATTTCTGTTCAATTTTACTATAAATTTTCAAGTCGTCGGCGTATATAGCAAAATTTGAGAAATGAAAGCAATGTTCAACATCACTAACAAATATACTAAATAGAATGGGACCCAAGTGTGAGCCCTGCGGAACCCCGGACGTGATTCGGCATTTGGTAGATTTCACATTATTCAGTGCTACGTACTGATATCTGTCAGTGATATACGATTCTAGGAGTTTCAACAGATTGCTGTGTACTCCGAAATTAGAAAGCTTTACCATAAGGGTAGGGTGATGCACCTTATCAAAGGCCTTTGAGAAATCGGTGTACACCGCACAAGTTGAAACTCCCTGTTCCATGTTATCGAAGATTTCTTGTACAAATGGTACCAAATTGGTCACGACTCCTCTGTTTTTGAAGAATCCATGCTGATTAATTGTGAGACAATTTTTTGATATAAAAAATAATTGTTGTGTAATAATGGATTCAAATACCTTACCGAATATATTTAATAAAGAAATTGGTCTATAGTTACATGCATCTGTCCGATTTCCTGATTTGAATACTGGTATGACTTGTGCGATTTTCCATTTTGACGGAAATTTTCCGGAAACCAAGGATTTATTGTATAATACGTACAAAGGATTCGTTAAGCTTGACCTACATGATTTTATAAATAACGGTGGTATACTGTCTGGTCCGGGACCTTTTTTTTTCATCAAGTTCAATGAGCGCATCGTGAATATCTTTTTCTGGCATGGGGTTTGGTTGCTTTCAAAAACACTGCCAAAATAATCCGAGAACATTTCACATATAGACTCTGTTTCAGTGTATGATTCACCATTAAAATTCATTTGAGCCGGAATGGAATGATTATTTTTCTTAGTGGAGATATACGACCAAAAAAATTTTGAATCATGTTTCAATTTATCCTCTGTTTTTCTTATGTAGTTTATATTATCATTTTCAATATTCTTTTTCACTTCTCTTCGTAAAAAAGAAAAGCGGGAGTAATCAGCCTGATTTTTGAATTTTTTCCATTTCCGATGATATTTAATTTTTTCTTTTGTTAATTTGATTGTTTCTTTGGGAAACCATGGTGGATGACTGCTGTAGTTTACGAGCTTCTTTGGAACAAAGTCATTCACAGCCTTGTTTATTATTTCATAGAAGTTTTCTACACATACATCAATGTCTTCTAAGTCAAATATTCCTTCCCATTGAACAGAATTTAGATAATCGTTGATAAAATTGTAATTTGCCTGTTTGAACATGAGTTTGGTATGTGATTTTCTCGGCAATTGTTTTTGAGGTGATAAACTAAGAGATAATTCGATGGCTTTATGATGACCGTCCTCGTTGACGAACGGTATTACCGCAGGATTCACATTTAGGTCTTCTCGATTAGAGAAAACTAAATCTAAAATCCGGTCACTGGTATTTCGGACATTATTGAATTGTTTAAGATTCGATAGCGGTACAAAATTCACAAAATATTCGCTCTTGATGTCAGTAGCGCCGGATGGTGCATATCCTATGGGGTCTGCGGGGTCACAAATCCAGTTCAATGTTGGTAAATTATAGTCCCCTATTATGAGGAAGTTATGTTGAGAATTATTATTCACTAGGTATTCGACTTTGTCGAGATGTAATTTCATATCATTCAGAATAATGTTTGGAGGAGCATAAACGCAACATACAAGTAATTTCTTACCGCCTTCCAGTGCTACTGACACCCAAAGCTCTTCAACTTTGCCGTTGGTACTCCAATGAGATATGCTTTGTGATACAAATTCTTTTTTCACTCCAATTATCACACCCCCACCATCACTTTATCCACTAGTCACTTCATCGCGGTCTTTCCGAAAAACTTCATAAGTTGTTGAAAATAGTTCCATGTTTGTAATACTCTCTTTCAACCATGTTTCGGTAGCACATATTATCTCAAAATCATGGCACAAAGTAGCTCTACGGAATTGTTCGGATTTTGTTCTTAAACCTCGGGTATTTTGATGGTACACTCGTAACTCTTCGAATGCGATGATAGACCACAACTGCTTTATCATAATTGTAGTGAGATGAGTTTAGGCGGAAAGCTTGTTCAGATCAGAAATAGATCTAATTTGAATTGCGCGAGCGGTATCTGATTTTTTAATAAAGATTTTTTCTTCTCTTACCCAACAGTATTTGTATTCATTTGCTTTGGAGAATTCTCGAGCGTGTTTGAAAATCATTCTGAAATAATGTGTCAAATGATCGTTTAAATAAACTCGTGTTTTATTGGGAAATCCAAAAATATCAGAAAATATGTTGTGTCTATGTGGTTTCATAGCTCCCATGAACTTGGTTTTCGTATCGTATTGAGAATTTTATGACAATGTTTTTTGGACGTTGTTTATCTTGGTTGTCTGGGTGTGTCTGAACCCGATGAGATTCCGTGATATCCGTGTCTTGTAATGGGAACTTAATAAGTTGGGCAACAACCTGCATGATCGACTTCAAATTCTCATTGTTCTTCTCAGGCAATCCAGAGATTTCTATATTCTCCATGCGCTGCTGCTGATGCATAGATTCAATCTCAGCTCTCAAGTTATCGCACTCCTTTTTCAGTTGTTGAACATCTTGCTGTACTCCTTGAACTGAGTTCATAGTTTTTTGAAAATTGTCCATTCGCTTTCCAAAATCATCGATCTTTCCACCATAAAAGTTGAGCGAATCGGAAACTTCTGTTTGTTTCGTCTTCACATCTTTAAGGTCCTCCTGGATTGACGCAAGCGACACTAACAGTTTATTCAGCTTCGAGTCATTCCTTCCATGTTTACACTTATCGCAAACCCAGGTAAGGCCTGTCCCGGCTGGAATATCTTGATACGCCACTGGAATCTTCGTACATTTGAAATGGAACGTTTTTTCGCAAGGCCCATCACAAGAAATACCTTGGTTAGTTCTTGTGACAGGAGAATTGCACGTGGCGCACACCTCAGGCATATCGATAAAAACGCTATTTTCGACACCTTTTCTGAGTACACGATTTTTATAGGTTTCAGTGAATTTCACTGGTTACGCACTAACAAAAAAAATTACACCTATGTTCTCAACAGGAACGTGTAGCCTATTGAAAACTGTATAGTTTGATATCAAATTTGCCCTAGACCGTGTCAAAAATCACTACTTTAATGAGGATATAGCCGGAGCAAAATTAATCACGACTTGTCAATGCAGATACAACACTTTAAAATATATTCAATTATTGATCTCAACTGATCATCACTACCATTTAAGAGGCGTATAATATGTATTTGATATCAACTCTTTCAAGTTAATCCGGTATACCGTAATTTAATGTAGATACTGTGCCTAATTTCCGAAAATGAAGGTTTATCGTACCTGTCCAAAGGTAACTAATCCTTCAGTTTGGGAAGGTAAGATATATAAAAGTTAAGCAAGCCAACGTTAGGTTAGTTCATTGTACCAGTATATCACCTGGCGAAGCTACTGTGTTAGCGAAACATGTCGTGTGTTTAATTGATTTTGTGGAAATGTTATCGTTTGTGAAGTTTTTACATTTATCATGGATTTCCATCAAGTAACGGCCGAGTCAATTCAAAAAATAAAAGGAATGGTCAAACTTAGAAATCGAGCCTTCAATGAATATAAAAAAACTCAGTCTACGGTGGATTGGCGATCCTACAGAGATTTGCGAAATTACACTACTGGTGCTATACGTCGCGAAAAAAAAGCATATTTGGACCATATTCTTCTCCAAAAAAATTCTAAATCGACATGGAATGCCCTTCGCTCACTCGGCTTACTGAGAAACAAAAACATCATTGAAATACCGGCCACTATGAAGGACAGAGATCGCATCAATCATCACTTTAACAATATTTTACAGCAGGATCCCTCTGAAGCACAGTTGTCGCTGCTTGAAATATACGATAGACCTCTAGACGCGGAGAGTTTCAACTTCTCTAACATTACCAGTAACTTGGTGAGAGAATATATTTATAAAATCAAAACTAATGCCACTGGTGCAGACAACCTTTCAACTCGTATGATCCACTTGATAGTTGACTTTCTATCAAATCACATCACGCACATTGTAAATAAGATTATGGTTGAAGGTACATTTCCCAAACAGTGGAAACACGCTTGGGTCATTCCTCTACCCAAATGCAACATTCCCTCAGACTATTCAGATCTCAGGCCCATTAGTATTCTCCCATCCATATCCAAGGTTGCAGAAATGGCAATGAAAGATCAGATTTCCTCATTTGTGTATGAACACAACATAATAACTTCCGTACAATCAGGTTTTCGACAACAATACATAGCACTACCACTGCCCTTTTAGCGATTACTGATGATATTCTCAGAGCCTTAGATGACGGAAAACTAACCTGTTTGGTGTTACTTGACTACAGTAAAGCATTCGATACCTTGGACCATGAAATACTGTGTAAAAAACTCAACTTCTTTGGATTTTCAAATAGCGCAGTACGCTTGATACAGAATTATTTAGCCGACCGCAGTCAATGTGTTATCATCGATGGTGAAGCGTCAAAGTCTGTTCTGGTGGCTAAAGGAGTGCCCCAGGGATCTATATTGGGCCCACTTCTTTTTAGTATATATATTTCTGACTTCCACTGCTCTAGTATCAAATCCACTGTTCACCATTACGCAGATGATACCCAAATATATTTCTCCTTTCCTTGTGATAATTCTCAAGAAGCACAGAATTCTATCAGCAATGACCTTCAGTCAATATCTGATGTTTCATCTGCTCATAAGTTGAAACTAAATCCAAACCAATCGGTAGTCATGTTATTTGGGCCAAAGAAGTTGAGAGAATCTACACTGATATCATTCGAAATACGTATTGGAAACGACATACTACCTGTGGTTAATGAGAGTAAGAACTTAGGGCTATACTTCGATCCTGAGCTGAGATTTACTAGACACGTTAGTTACTTATGCCAGAGTTCATATAACACTTTGCGACAGTTATACCCAAATAGATACATTCTTTCCACACAACTAAAAATTGAACTTTGTGAATCGTTGATTATTTCAAAGATTTCATATTGTGATAGTATCTATGGTCCCGCTTTGTTACAGTCTGATGCCCATCGCTTGCAACGCATACAGAACTCCTGTCTCCGCTTATGCTATGGAATCCGCAAGTTTGATCACATATCAACTGTAATGAAACTATCTGGGTGGTTGAGACTGGAAAAACTCAGGAACTTGCATCTTTTAACTGATGTACATAAAATTTTAACTTTCCGAAATCCTGATTATCTCTTCCGTAGACTGGCATCTTTCTCCAACATCAACAGATTTGCAACACGCAACAGTAACGTACTCATAATTCCCAAACATCGCACTTCAATATTTACTCGAAGCTTCTCCTATAACGCAGCGAAATTTTACAATGCCCTTCCGAGTGAATATAGGTCTTACAATTTGCTTAACTCCAAAAAAAGATTGAGACTACGCCTTTTAAAAAATTGACAGAAAACAAAATACCTACAGTGCATATATACGCAGCAGGACATCACGAGTTTTCAATATAGATTTTTGTTTTTCCTCATTTTCATCACATGTTAAATAATATGTTCTAATAGTATCGCTTCTTTCAGAATTTTCATTTATGTTTTGATAATTAATTATATTATATATAATTGTTGTTGTAATGGCTGTTTTGATTCAAAACTGCATCTCCTTAAAAATTTTGAATGTATAGGAATATATTTAAAAATATATCACGTCTTCAAGAATCTCCATTTATGTTTTCGCTAATAGAATATACTGATGTATGTTAATGTAGCTCACCATCCACTATTTAAGATCTTATTGATGTTGTTGTAAAGGTTGAGTTGACAAACAGCTTCGGCTGACACTCCACCTTTTCACCAAACACCTTTTTTTGGTTTTGATGAATAAAGTCGATTTATTATTATTATATGATCAGATACTTGAATAACAGGTGATTAAAAAGTCAATTTGCTGAAGAAAAAAATATTTTGGGGTAAGAATAATTTCGATAATGATGATACTTCTAATGATGAAACGTCTTCACTAATCTTCAAACTCTACAGAACTTCAGTTTTCGGCAATGTATTAGTTTTTCAGCATTGCAGATTATTATTCAGGCTTTGACTTGACTCATTCTCAGTTACTATGAATTAGATATCAATAGGTCGGGTATAGTTGTAATGTTCTCTTCATATAAACATTGGTGCCAAACATACTTGATGACCAAACTCTTGGTTATTGATTATATTACATATATGAAAAAGCCACGCTGCCGCTGTTTTGTAACTTTAACCTGATGATTATCAATCTCCACACTTCAACTATCTGAGAAAATATCAGTGGTTTCTGTCATATAATAGTACATTATACATCGAGCAAAAGACATGCAAGATTTTTTTCAAGAAGCGATTTGTAGCTCATGGACGAAGCCTGAGAGATACGAAGCACCATGGGAGAAATATATTTTTGTCCTGAGGTGAAGGTACTATTTTTCACGATGGCAAAAACACAAAGATAAAAAAATAATGAAAATTTCGTCAATTTTTTCTGTCATAGTATTAGTAGTAGTTGTTTGTGGAATTCGTATCTCGAAAACATGCATGATGTTAATATATAAAAACAGTTTTGAAAATGATTAACAGTTATGGAACAAAAAATCGTGAAAGAACCCCAGGGATTTGTTGATACTGCTTCTGCAAGGATTCTTGCTACCAGTGAAATACAGAAATCTGTATAATACAGCTCAAAATCGCTTCAGAGAATGGTGTTCCAAAATGAGAGCGCAGAGCTATGCGAAAAATGTAGAGTTGTTATAAACAATAAGTAAAAATGTCACTTCATCTTTCTAGTAAATAATAAGCCACTTCTGCTTCACATTCATTAATAAAAAAACTAACTTCAACTCCCGCCAACGTAACAAGAAATATACGTTCTTGAAGTTATGATCTATTGACAGTGTGCAAATATATAGAATATATGGCCAAACTCTGGGAAAATGTTCAATAATGCTTGAATACGTAAATTTTTGACTGATTTGCCCAAGTAGACCCGAAATTGATGAAAAATGTGATGAGTGATTCATTTTATATCTATCAGTATTTTCAGCAAAATCCTCGATCAACATTTCGAAACTCACTGAGACAGTAATCTAAAATCCCCTTCGTCGTTTTATTATTGAACAACTGAAGATGATAACCCAAAAGCAATCATTCAGCCATCCAAAGATAGTTCCATAGTCGGATATTGAAGGAATAAAATGATTACGTGATGTGAATTTTTTTTTTTTAGAACATATTATTATGTCGTCGTAAACTATACTGGATGACAACGAAATCATTGTACAGAGCTTGCTTCATTCAGTTGTTTTTCATCTGAGACTTCTGATATTTGAATGAAATATTCATTATAGATTCTGAAACACTATATTTTCCATCGAAAACCAATAATTGGATGTCACTTCCAGTGTTTCTGAAAATGGACCTTGTTTGAGGATTTCATATGGGAACCTGTTTATTATTCCACGCCATTCGATAAAACAATGACTTTCTACTCCAATGAGATATCTTCAGTGGACATTCATTCTCAAAATGGCTTCGCAGGTGATTTTTCCCAATATGGCGACGCTGTGACGACATTGATCGAATTCTCATAGAGCAACTCGATAAAATAGCAAAAAGATGGAAAACTTTGATCACTTTTTGATATTACATGAAATAATTCTGATTCATCGCCAATCAGGATTCCTTGTGGTAACTTCTCCAAATGGCATTTTCACTCTTGCATTTTGCCGAAAATTTTGAATAGGAAATGGTACTTTCTTGAACTCATTTTGTTCAGATGAATGGTTGACATACTGAGTTTGTCATTTTCGATTGGGAAATCGTTGAAAATAATCTTTTTCAGTGGGTATTTATTGAGATATATAGGTGAAATTGAAGAAATAATTTTAA